GCCTATCTTTGCCATGTTCAGTCTACAACATGGGAGCACAGGCGGCGTATTTCATTTTTTTATGGGATTTTGACATATTTTACGTATTGGGAGCTTTATTTAGACCTATTCTCTTGTAAGCCCATGGAAGTGTTAACAATATAACCATACGTTGGTAGCTTAGACCAGCAGCGTGTTCATCTACTCAGTCACTTGCTCCTATGGAGCAGTTTATATTGGTCACATGAGTTCCCAGCATGGCTGAGACTAAGTGGAGTCGGGAGCATAGACAGCACTTTACTCGTGTGGACCACAACAAGGCCTTCCGGGTGATTTATAAAGTCCCACAAAGCTAGCCCAAGTCCCTGGTTCAGCGCCTTCTAGTAACAGCAGGTTGGGAAAACCGCTCTTGTATGCACAAAAGAACGTCCCGCAAGCTTCGCGCATTCCATGGCCAACGGCTGATTAACTGTACGTACTCTTCTGTTTTTTTTCTCTCTCTCTCCTTACTCCTCCCTCTTGAACTGGCTTCACCTAAACCTCACCACTTGGAACCAGCTGTCTTTTATTACCCCCCCATTTCCATGGCTCCCTTAGGTGAAATGACGAGCACGATTGACTGCATGTTTAACCGGTGACCCCCGTTCCCCTAAAATTTATTGACCCGATGATAATTTATCGAAAGCCGCCTTGTGCTCGCCAAAGTCTGTGGTGGAACTGTTGCTTTCTTATGCCGTATACACCCATAAAATCTCTCAAAATATAAAAACACGCACATGACATGAATAGTGACTTTTAACGGTGTGTTTATATATGACTATTGGTAAGCACTTTGTGGGCAAATGCGGCACTGCCATAAAAACTTGTAGCTTACCTCATTCAATTTTGTTGTTTCCAGATATGAACCAGTGGCGATCCTATGCCGGTTTACTGCTATCGAGGAATGTATGGCAGCTCTTCACTGAGAAGCAGACGCGCAACCTTGCCAAGCTTTCCATTCGGGGTGGAGAGAAGCCCAGCTTTACTATAAAGACTGAGGAAATTTTCAGTTCGCTCAAGGATGGTGCGTACCGCCTCTACCATTAAACTAACCCCCCCCCAAGGTTCAAATGTTGCTATTCAGGGTGTGGCAACTACACCAGACCCGCTGATTAGAGACCTGTGTGAGTACGTCCATTCCCGAAATCTGAAGAACATACACATCTATACTACACTGCCGTTTGGCGAAGGACTGTTTCTGAAAGAACCCTATGCTTCACACTTTAAAACGAATTTCTTTTTCCTAGGTAAGTGGTTTTGCTTTGCGTAGGCATACACCAAATTAAGGCTCTGTTGGGCGGCAGGAGGTCAATGCAGGAAAAGCCAACTATATACCGATGTTCCTCAACGAAGTGCCGCGTTTTTATCGACGAAGACTTATTGACCTGGATATGTGTATCATCAATGTATCTGCTCCCGATGCCCATGGCAACTACTCAATGGGTCCCTCCATTAAAACCATACTGGGTGCCGTCGAGGTGACCAAGTGCTTGGTCGGTAGGCTAGCCACATTTTCAGTGATATATAATCCGCCCCTTTTGATCCCATCTGTTAGGTCAAGTTAACCCA